TGGTACTCAGGACTCTCTTGGCACCCCGGGCTGTTTTGATTCGACTTCCGTTGTTCCCCTTTTTTTCTTCTGAGCTGAAGTTTTCCTCTCCTTTATTTTTCTGGCTTTATCTTTTCTTTTTCTTTTAAAAAAAATCTCTTTTCGTTTTGGTTTTTCCGGCATGAGCATTTCTTTCTCGCCTTTTAGTTCCCAGGTAAGAGGCCCCCTTCCCGTTTTCCAAGCTTTGGGGGGGGGAGCCAAATAGCCCTTTGATGTTGACTTGTGGCATTTCCTGCCTCCCCCCCACCCTCCTTCTTCCTCTTCCCTCCCAAGGCCGTGGCAAGATCAGAGCCCCGTGCCCAACCCATTTCCCCGTCTCTCTCCCTTCCTCCGGGGTTATTCTTTTATTGATTGCTCCCCCAGGCGTTTCCCGTGCACCCACCGAAGCAGCCTCCCTTCCCCCCCCAGAAATAGAAATGCCCCAAAGCAAGTCAGCCACCGCAAGAGAGCCTCCATGGGCAGGAGCAGTCTGCCTTAGAGCCCAAGGTGCTGAGCGGGACAAACAGCCCTTGCCTTCGGACCTTCCCAAACAACAGAAATGCAGAGTTGGGTTTGCAGGGATTGGCGATCTGCCTTCAAAAAAAATAAATAAGTAGGATTCCCACGCCCGTTTGGCTCGGGCAGCAAGCCTGCTAGTGCAGGGTGATGGGAGGTGTAGTCCAAAAGCATAAAGGGAGAGGGCCAAATGGGGAGTTGCGGTCTTTGGGCATCCTCTTGGGGAGCGAAGGCGCACGTCGCCCTGGTGGTCCCAACCCTCTCTGCTCCGTCTCCGGCAGCGTGGAGGTGATCCGCCTCGGGCACAGCTATTTCATCAACTGGGACAAGAAAATGTACTGCGGGAAACGGTGCACCCCGGCCGAGGCCCGAACCACCACGCTGAACGAGGAATTGGGCCAGGTGGAGTACATATTTTCGGACAAAACGGGCACGCTCACCCAGAACATCATGGTCTTCAGCAAGTGCTCCGTCAACGGACGCAGCTACGGTGAGCCTCTCTGTCCCAGGGCAGTCTATCTCCGGCAGCCTTCTAAGAAAAGGCGGTTGCTGCTTCCTCTCTCGGTCGCCTCTCGGTCCGTGGGCACGATGGGCAACCCGAAGAAAAGGCCGCTGAGATGGAGTCTGGTGGAAATGCTTTCCACTTCACCGACGCAAAACGCCCTGTTGCGTTTTACGGCGGAGCCCCGCGAATCAGGCTTGCGATCCGAAGCTTTCCTTTCTCGCTTCCCCCGGTTCCGAGTCTTGCTCTTTTTCCGCAGGCGACGCGCTGGATGACCTCGGGTACAAGGCTGAGCTCGGAAAGGTAACCCGCCGGGAACTCTCTCAGGGCGGCAGGGAGGAAGCGTAAAAAATGGGATTTTAGAAAAGGCTCCCTCTGCCGAGCGGGGTACTCGCGAAGCCATAAAAACCCCTCTCCCCAAACTGGTCTGCGGCGTGGAGATGTGCATTTTTGGAAAAGCATGGGCAGGCGCCTTCTGAAAAATGGGCGCGTGGCTGGGCTAAAGAAAGGGGTGGGGCTGACACACACAGACACAACACACACAAACACACACAGCCACTGATCCTCGCAGCCCTCGACCCGGCTAACCGAGATGTTCCATTCCTGCTATGTTGCCAATTGCAACTCGGCGCCAGCTGTTGGAGGGGGCGCGTCGAAATTTGGGGGTCCCCTTACACCAGTGTTGTCCAAACTTGGCCACTTTAAGATGAGTGGACTTCAACTCTGGCTGGGGAAT